ACACCAGGAACTTGGTTTTGTGGGTGCTGTCACCACAGCTACCACATGAAAGAGAGCTCCCAGTCCCTTCCTTTTGTCAAAATCTGGCACAGGTGCATCCCTGGGCCACAGGCGTGGCCCTAACTGCAGGGGAGGCTGGGAAAGTCAGTATCTAGAATTTCAGCTACTGTAAGTGGAGGTAGTTATTGCCCCTCATCCAGGCTCATAAACTAGGAGAGTCCCTGAATATAGGAGGGGTTCAAATGCCCGGCAGACAAGCCTAACAACAAGTGTCTAATACTAACCACAACAAAGAAACATAGGATGTTGGGGGGTACTGTATAGACTTGTCACATCTCTGTCATTTTACACTGAGATCAAAATCCAAACACCAAGAGGCCCTCAGTTGCCTACCCAACATTTCCCCCTTCTCCCTTAGGGTCAGAACTCCTGTGTTACATATTATAATAATGTGCCAGCTAATAAGTCACATATCCCAGCCTCCATTACAGGTAAGGGTGGGTAGCTAATGAGCAGAAGTCACTGGGTGGGGGGGGCTTCTAGGAAATTGTAAAAGTTCCTTTCCTCCTTTTGTTCCTGCCCAGACACAAAAGCAGTGGCTAGAGCTTCAGTAACCACCTAAGATAATGTAGCAACTAATACTGAAACCATTTGGCAAGGATGGCAGAGCAAACTCAGGAAGCTTCCAAGTACCTGATGACCTGTCAGATCAGCCCTGGACCACCCAACACCATTCTGTATGGGCTGGGGAAAAAAATAACCTTTTTAAAGCCACTGTTAACTTTGAGTCTCTGTTCCTAGCAGCTGAAGGTAATTCCTTACAGATACCAGCTGTCTTCAGTGGTTGCACAGGCGCTTCTAGGAATCCATGATGGTATCATCCTCCGGCACGTAGGAAAATCCCAGGAATGCACTTGAGGCCCCAGAGCTGCTGGCCACAGTGTCAGGAGTGCAGCCAATGGACTTTGACACGGCTTCCTGGGTGAACTCTGGGTCAAAGTTTTTCAAGTCATCAGGTCCAGCCTGTGAATATAAACCAATGATGAGAAGGGAACAGTGGGATCAGAACTGCCAAAGGAACCCACAAGCCCTGAGAGGGATTTTAGGCCTCCCCTCTAAATGCCTCAGGGACACCCTTATTAAGTGTCACCCATGTATTTTATTAGTTATTTTATTCCACAAGGTCCAATTACCACATATCAGTTCCTCTAACTCCCTGGCACCCTGCCTGCTCCATATATATATATATATTTAAATAGTTAGTATATATTTACTGAATGCCTACCAGGCACAGTTCATGACACTGGGAATACAGAGAAACAAAATAGAATTGCTTTCGTGGAGCTTATATAAGGAGTAGGAAAATTGGTAATAAGCAAGTATACAAATAGATTATTTTGGGTGTTGATAGGTCTTATGAAAAAGATAAAATGGGGTATGGTAGAGGGTGACTGGCTGCTTTAGCTATTTTGAAGGAAAATCTGTGTGAGAGCTTGTAAAAATGGTCACAAATTCTCCATTCCCAGCCAGAGGTGGAGTCTATTTCTCCATCCCTTTGATATGGATTAGCCATGTGACTTGCTTAGGCCAACAGGACATTACCAAATGTGATACAATCAGAGGCTTGAAAAACACACACTGCAAGTTCTCTCTTGCTGCACTTGGAACCCTAAGGCCACCATGTGAAGAAGCCCAGGCCAGCCTGTTGGAGCATAGGAGGCCTCATGAAGGAGAACCCAGTTGTCCCAGCTGCCGGCCCACTACCAGGCATGAAACTGAGGCAATTCTAGATCATCAACTGCCAGCTGACCGGCTAGCTGACCACTGACATGAGCTAGCCCAGCAGAGACAACTGGCCTGGCCCAGGCCAAAAAAAGCCCACCCAACTGACCCATAGAATCAGAATAAAATAAGCCACCTAGTTTGGGGGGTGGCTTGTTATAGCAGCAAGAGCTAACCGATACAACCTGTCCGTGGAGGAGGCACAGTCTGGGTTTTATGAAGTAAGCAGGTGAGCAAGTGGAGGGTCTGCAGAGCTGCTTTAGTATTTAAGCCTTAGGCTGTGGAACCAAACAGACCCTGGCTTCCAGCTTCTTAAAAGGCTATAGGGCACAGTGGGACTAGCCCAGGGCTCAGAGTTCCAAGACCAGAATGTGAATTCTGGGTCCTGGCCCTTGTTAGTCAGCTGGGTGGCCCTAAACAAGGCAGGTGTTTTCTATTTTTTACAAATGAAGACTCTGATGCTAAAGAAATGTATTCAAGGCCCCCCAAGTGGTAGGCGACAGAACCAGGAATTCACCCCCAGCATGTCCTACTCTACAGTTGATGCATTGCGTTCTAATACCTCCTTGTCTAGTATTCTGTATATTATTCTCTGGGGCATATGCTCAATATTATCCCCAAGGTCTTTTTCTAAAAAAAAAAACCTGGTTAAAGAAACCTTTCAGGTGCCTGCACTGAGTGTATCCTATCTGACAACTGATGTCAAGAGTCTGGTGCTCAAAGACACGTTCATGAACAGGTATTTCGCCTGAGGAAAGATGTAAATAGCGACTAACATTGGCAGTGTTGAGGTGTGCAGACGCCTGGATGGAGGGGACATGACACTGTTTGACACATTACAGGTGGCCGTGAGAACCTACCATGTCAGATGGGGCTCCATTCATTCATACTACCACTGCTAATTAATGTTTAAAAACTAACCACCTTCAGGGCTGGCCGAGTGGCTCAGTTGGTTAAGAGCTCGCTTAAGGGTTTGAGCTCTGAGCAACAGTGGTGTGAGTCCAGCCCGAGCTGAGCTGCCGCTGAGCTGCCAACAGGTGGCAGGATGGCTCAGCTAAAAGAAAAAAAAAATTGAAAAAAAAAAACCTAACCACCTTCACTATAAATGAAAGAAATACAAATTAAAACAATACAAGAGGCCATTTTTTACTTAACGAAGTTGCAAAGTAAAAAACAACAATACAGGGCCGGCCGAGTGGTGCACTGGTTAAGAGCTGGCTTGGGACACCAGCTCTGAGCAGCAGGGCCC